CATTCCTTCCCCAATTTAAAATTATACTATTAAGCTACACTAACCAGAACAGCATAGTATTGGGATAAGGGCGGACTTCCAGACAGAAGGAATAGAATTTGTAATCCAGAGACAGATTCTAAGGTAACCTTCAACAAGTGAGCAAAATGTATGAAGAGGAGTAAGAAAAGCCTCTGCACATATGGTGCTGGGAAAATTGGCTGGCCACATATTGAAAGAAAGATGAACTCATACCATTTCTAATACCATGCACAAAAGTCAAATCAAAATGTATTAAAGGCCTTGCTTCCAGATCAGAATCCATTAATTATATTGAGGGAAACATATGCAGAACATTTCATGACACTGAGGCCAGTAGCATCTTCAGTGACTCAATACCATTGGCCAAGAAAGCAAAAGTGAACACAAACAAATGAGACCATATCAAACTAAGACAGTCTGTCACTGCAAAATAATTGGTGACCAGAATCAATAGACACCACTTAGACTGGGAGATAATATTTTTCCACCACCTATTTGATAAAGGGTTAACATCCAAGCACTGGCAGAACTTTACAAAAAAAATGATACCTGTAAAAATGGGTTGGGGCGGGGGAAGATGAACATTCTCAAAGAAGATATACAGGTGTCCAAAAGGTATTTAAAAATGCTCAGCATCATTTATCATCAGGGAGCTGCAATTCAAAATAACATTGAGATATCATCTCACACCAGTGAGACTGGCGTTCATCACAAAAAAACAAAACAACAATCAACCGGTGTTGACATGGTTATAGGAAATAAGGAACCTCATTCACTGCTGGTGGGAATGTCATCTGGTTCAAACTTTTTGGAAAACAAATGTGAACTACTGAAAAAATCTAGGAATTGGGTTTCAGTACGACCTAGCAATTCCATTTCTTGGTATCTATCCCAAGTTTCCGAAAACTTTATTCAGAAAAGATATTTGCATTCTATGTTCACTACAACGTTAGTAATAGTAGCCAAAGAAGTCTGGGAACAATATACATGTCCAAACACAGATGACTGGGTAAAGTACCAGTGGTACTTTGTGGCATAACTCTTCATACACAATGGAATACTACTCATTTGTGAAAAAAAGATGAAGTCATGCAATTTGCTGCTTAAGTGGGTGGATCTGGAAAGTGCTATGCTAAATGAAGTTAGTCAGAAGAACAGGGACAGATATAGAATAAATTCCCTCATCTTTGGAATATAAAGTTACGTAGTAAGGAAATAAAAGCTCAAAGGCAACAGCAACTGAGAACTAGTCTTTATTAGGAAACAGATCACTCCAGGGAGGGTGGGGGAACAGGAGATGGACAATGGTGAAGGAAGCTGATACTTTCGTGGATTTTGTTATGTTGAAATATTTCATGAATTAAACCTTGCCATTACCGATATTATAAATCATGGGGCCTAAACGTATATATTTAAGACATAGCTCAAAGGACTGCATGCAAAGCATTCAGGGGACCTGGCACTAAGCCCTCAACAGGACAGTATATGCCCAAAAGCAGTGCTCAGAGTGACACAAAGAACAAAACCAGGAACACTCCTTAAATTCCAGGTGTTGTCAGAAAATAAAACCATAAAACACACAACAAGACCAACTATTTTCTTTATAAGCTTTCATATGTTGATTAAACAGTTGGGTGATGATCTTTCTCATAGCTATCACTGATGTATTTTTATTTTCAAATTCTATTGATTTTTATGGCAGTACATGAATGGGATGTTTGAAAGCCCAAGCAAGCTGTAAATCCTTGTAATTTTTGCCATATTTGATTTATAATTCAAACTCCATGTTTTGGATATGACAAATCCAATTAAAACTACAGGATTTAAGAGACCTAATAGTTAATAATCTTCACAGATATTTAATATTGAAATATAATGATCAAATAATATAGCATAATAACATAGTTAATATTTAAATATAGCACTTAATAAATGTTTTTACTTAATAGTTAATTCCATTTAATAATTAATAATCTCTATGGAATTTAATTTAAAAGTCAAAAATTTAAACAAGACTTTTAATGCAAAAATATATTTCTTAAGAAATAGTATCCATTTTGATGTGATAAATTTTATCTACCCTTTGTCAACAAATTTGATAGAATTTGCCTATTCTTGCTTTCTCACCCCAGACTACCTAGTTAACTTGGGCTAAAGGGAATTATAGATCATCTTCTTGACAACCTTTGGGAATTTTCCAGGGTAGCTATATTTGCTGCTTGTTCATCTTCTCATAAAACCCTTGTTTTCCTTATCTCCCTCCCTTTGCCAGTGTCTAGAAAAAAATCACATCTCCAGTTCTTGAGTTTATAATTATGTCAAGCAGAATTTCTCTCCCCAAATTTCTCTGTAAGCCAAAATAATCAATAGTGCTTGTTGGGAGTCAGTAACAGCAAATCTCAGAAGCAGATAAATGAAAAGGACTCCCAGTTTTCACAAACTGAAGATAGCTGAAAGAATGTAGCAGGAGACTGTGGAAATTAGTGATGAGGGGAAATGGAGATTTGACCTAAAATTCCAAGACAAGAAGAACAGGAACAGACTCCAGTTCTATCAAAGGGAAATAATATCCCTGATGCTTTCTCTAGATCTTGGGCACCAGGCAGTAGTTTAGCAAGGCTGATATGTCTAGTGGGTGAGTCTAAAATAAAATACTGTAAATTATTTAGAAGATGGGGACGGTCTTAGTCAAGACCTAGTCTTGGAGTGGGGGAATCAGAATGGTTCCAAAATTTGAATAAAACTCAGCTTGTAGGGGGGCAATCATATACAATCAAAAGTTTTTTTTAAGAGAGATATTGGGGGTGTCAGAACAATAGTATAGTGGGTAAGCTGTTTGCCTTGCATGTTGCCTACCTAGGTTGTTAACCCCAGTATCCCAGAGGGTCTCCCAAGTCCACAAGGAATAATCCCTGAGTGTAGAGCCAGAAGTAAGCTCTGGCCTTAAACAAAAAACATAAAAAAAGAGGGCTTGAGACTGGGAAAAGGAGTGAGATCTTTCATTGACTGCCGTTCTCTATTTTCACAGGTTGCATTTTTCTTCTCTCTTAAAGTCAGACTTTGGCTTATAAAATTGATAAAGGCCTGCATTCATATCAACCTTTTTATGTTTTTTCCTCTTAGTGAGCTCCAGAGATTGTATTTATTCATAAACATTTTGCCATATGTAGCCATTAGAGTTTCTAAGTTTCCAAAGGTTGATCATTTCTTATTCATGTTCAAGAAAATAATTTTGAAAAAACTGTTTGTAATGTTTCCTGTATTCATTTTTCATATTTCCATTTTCACTCAAACATATTTTTGCAAAACCTTCGTATTTTCAGAAAGTATTCTCTGTATCTTTTGACACTCCATTTTTGAAATATCACTGTCTAAATTTGCAGCAGGTGTCAAAGAATTATCACCTCACAACTTTCATTTTGCAGTTTTTTGACATTGAAGTAGCAAAGACGGCCATATTCAATGCTGAAACAGCAAAACAAATATCATGGAGAAGGAGTTTTAAAAAATATCTAATTATTATGCAAGCAGAAGTAGTTTTTCGTAAATACTGTTGAAATGTTGTTTCTATACAATTCTATTCGAGTCTTGGATAAAAGATGCTTCCTCCAGCAAAACATGGAGACATGTACATAATTTTAGTTTAGCACTGCACTGTAGCACTGACCTCTGTTGTTCATTGATTTGTTTGAGCGGGCACCAGTAATGTCTCCATTGTGAGACTTGTTGTTACTGTTTTTGGCATATCAAATATGCCACGGGGACCTTGCCAGGCTCTGCTGTGCAGGTGGGATACTTTTCATAGATTTCCAGGCTCTCCAAGAGGAACAGAGAAATCAAACCCTCGTCGATCACATACAAGGCAAATGTCCTACCCATTGTGATATCACTCCAGCCCATGATTTTAGTTTAGGAGACTTAATTATTTTTTATCTTAAATAAACTTTCACATATAAAGTCATTTATATAAATATATAAAGAATTATGTATAAAGGAATGTCTTAAGGGGTCAGAATGATAGTATAGCAAGTAGGGCATTCACCTTATACATGGTTAACTTGGGTTTAGTCCCTGGCATCCCATATGGTCCACTGAACCCACCAAGAGTCAGAGCAGAGAGCCAGAGCAAGTCTTGAAAACCTCTTGAGTGGCCCCCCCAAAATCAAACAAAATATGACTCCTAAGTTGCATTTGTGCTCTGCCCACATTTATTCCACACCTAAACAACTTTGGGCTATATTTACTTATATAAAAGATAATGAACAGAACACAATACTTTTGGTTTTTCAGCAGAAAATTAAATGATTATGCTTACAAGAGAAAGAAGACTGAGTATTTTAAAAATAATTCAACAAATATAGACAACATAGAAATTCTGTTAAACTCAAATTCCTGAAGGCATACTTGTAATTGGTCCTTGGGTATATGTCTTTTTCTTTAGAAACATATTTTACAGCGTGGGTTTCATGCACAATTTCTGAAGAGCAATGAAGGATGCGAGAATAAGAGTATAGTGATAATAGGAGATGTGTATAGTGTAATATGTAATAGTATAGTGTAATAGGAGATGAAGTGGGCCAACTCTGATCTGCTCCAAGAATTCATCTCCACAAATATATGTTGGATCCATAGATGGTAGAGCACCAGGAGTATCTTTCTTTTTTTAAAAATTTTATTGAATCACCATGAGATAGTTATAAGATTTCATGTTTGGGTTACAATCACACAATAATCAAACACCCATCCCTCCACCAGTGCACATTCCCCACCATCAATATCCCCGGTAAATTACCCTTTTCTATACTTTCCCTGCCTCTATGGCAGACAATATTTTCCATACTCTCTCTCTTTCTACTTTTGGACATTATGATTTGCAATGCAGATACTGAGAGGCTATCATGTTTGGTCCACCAGGAGTATCTTTCTTTGAGGATACATAGAAGATTCTGTATGCATATCCAGGGACACTATGATCTTACCTTGATGGTAGCCAGAATCACCTCCATTATAGCACACTGCCTGGGAGTTAGACCCTTGGCATCCTCTCGAATCATATGCTCCTGGAAAACAAGGTAAGAATTTCTTCAAAATGACTCATTCATTTTATTTAGCAAAAGCCATTCATATAATCCCCACACAGAAGCATCTCTCTCTGAAACATCTTCGTGTGAACATGTCTTAGATGATTATTTGGACTAATGTTTACTTAAAGGGTAGTATTTTGATGATGAATGTCTTTATTTTACAATTGCATGCTAATGTTAGAGAAAAATGGAGAGAGAAACGTTGCAAAAATATTTCAAAGTTTTTTCCTTTAATTTCCTGCTTATACTTTGTCACAATGAGGAAAGTCAATCATGGGATTTAAAAAGTGAATTTGACTGTCTCTTAATCACAATTCCTAAAACCTATTTTAAACTTAATCTCAACTAGGGAGCTTAGCTCAATCGTAGAGTACATGCTTCGTATTACTGGGGACCTGGTTTGATCAGGTTTGTTTGAGGCACCCAAACAAACAAGAAAAAGCACATAATTGTTGCTTCTACAAGTATGGGAGTAAAAGAAGCCTTTACACTCAGATAGTGGGTATATAAACTTGTTAAACTTTTATGGGAAATGGTATTAGGCCTTTCATTATGCTAAAATATAGCACTGTAGCACTGTCCTCCCGTTGTTCATCGATTTGCCCAAGCAGGCACCAGTAACGTCTCACAACAAATTGTGAGACTTGTTGTTACTGTTTTTGGCATATTGAATACATCACAGGTAGCTTGCCAGGCTTTGCCTTGCAGGCAAGATTCTCTCGGTAGCTTGCCAAGACATTGCCTATAAAATATTTACAGGGTAAAGAAAATCTCGTAATTATATATCTATGCATATGTCTGAAAAACACTAAAAATGTGGTTATCTGAGCTTATATAGACTTTCCTATCTTCATTAAAGCATTATTTACAATAACTGAGCCATAAACCAACTCTCTAACAGCAGATGAATGGATAAAGCTTGATCAATATACACATAGGAAATGAGTTAGTTATAGAAATATGTGATTTTATTACTGGAGGTGAGTTATGCTAAGCAAAACTTGTATATGGTATATAACACAAAGAGCCAGTGAACATACCAAGTCAAATTTAAACAAGTCTTTGGATTTTGACTGGATAACTGGGATTATTAATGAGAGAGGGAGATAGGGCTAAAAGAATAGAGGAAATATATAATTATGCAATAATACCGTCAATATTTAAGTAAAGTAAAGTAAAGGGCCCTCCCGTTGATCATCGATTTGCTCGAGCGGGCCCAGTAACGTCTCCATTGGAGACTTTGTTGTTACTGTGTCTGGCATATCGAATACTCTCGTTAGCTTGGCGGGCTCTCCGAGAGGGGCGGAGGAATCGAACTCGGGTCGGCCATGTTGGCTGCGTGCAAGGCAAACGCCCTACCCACTGTGCTATCGCTCCAGCCCGTCAGTCATTCCTAAAACAAGTCCTAGAGGTAATTGAATTTGGCTCTTGAAAGTTTAATATTTTAAATAATTTTTCAAAATTTTACAATTTTACATATTTTACAATAGTTTTTCCTTATTGTCCCTTTTCAACAGTCTCAGCCAATCATTCAAAAGTTATGTAGGGAAATCTTGGTAGAAAACTGAAGCTATATTAATACATATAAATTTGTCTAAAAGATTAGTTTGATATATTGACTCTCCCTTGTCCTAATTAATTCCATCTCCTCAGGGCTTCCAATATCTTGAGAAAATTCATTAGATTGACAACATCTGTCCATCTTAATTGACAACACCCCACAGATTGAGTGCTGGTAGCATTATAGGTGATTGAAAGACACTATTCAATTAAAAAAAGACTTTCATCTTTCTGAATCTAAAGTTCTAACCTCTATTGATACCTAAATGTAAATTTGAGAAAAACCTATATGTGTAGGTATGATTTGATTGGGCCGGGGCCGGAGCGATAGCACAGTGGGTAGGGCATTTGCCTTGCACCTGAACTGACCCAGGTTCAATTCCTCTGCCCCTCTTGGAGATCCCAGCAAGCTACCGAGAGTATCCTGCCAGCACGGCAAAGCCTGGCAAGCTACCCGTGATGTATTCGATATGCCAAAAACAGTAACAACAAGTCTTACAATGGAGACGTTACTGGTGCCTGCTTGAGCAAATCGATGAACAACTGGAGGACGGTACAGTACAGTACAGATGATGTGATTACAGTGCCTTCGGTCTGTAATCAAAGTTACCTCTTTTCATATAGACCACATTTTTTCACATCAGCACACATGGCTTAGTTGGTGGAACATTGGTGCTATTTTACTATTCTTTGTTCTCTTAGCTATCTTTTTGGTGCAATATACAAATTGCTCAATTATACTCAGTACCTCCTCCTTTTATTCCAGGCTTTGATTTATTTTATTTTTTAGTAGATGCTGTGATTTCCTGAAGAAAATCTCTGTCTAACGTTAGCTTCTGAGCCCATGCCAGGCTGTTTTCACCGGGGCCCCTCAGAGGGGGGTGGATTGAGTTTCCCTCCCCGCCCCAAGCAGAACCCTGGCAGCTGAAAACCTCCAGAACCCAGTCACAACCATGGTCAAGGCCACTCTCCATATGCTCCGAAGAGCCTCAGGCATGAAGGAACCAGTAAAAACTCAACTGCCCTACTCAATAGAAAACATCTTAAATTTGAAGGAAAAGAAAAAATAGTAAAATTCAGTCCTAAATTTTTACCTGATTGATACTTAATCAGATTGTTAGATCACTGATCCACATTTCCATTGTATGTGGATGGTTTCTTGCAAAGTTGTAGTTAGCATATTATTTTCTACAGACTAGGCTTAGTAAAGATAAATTCTTATTACCTTCAGTTTGGATAATTGTCCAAGATCTTTAGCTGCACTGAAAATCATCTGGGGTCCCTGGAAACACAGAATATCTTGTGAATTTAGGTAATCTCAACAAAACTCAGAGAAACAGCTTCATGATATCAAAACAGAACATGGTAGTGATGAGAGTTATGAAAGAAATTGTTATCAAAGAAATTGAAGATACTTTAAAAATCTGAAGACAAAAGTAAAGTAAAGGCCATCCCGTTGATCATCAATTTGCTCGAGCGGGCCCAGTAACGTCTCCATTGGAGACTTTGTTGTTACTGTGTCTGGCATATCGAATACTCTCGGTAGCTTGCCGGGCTCTCCGAGAGGGGCGGAGGAATCGAACTCGGGTCGGCCATGTTGGCCGCTTGTAAGGCGAACGCCCTACCCGCTGTGCTATCGCTCCAGCCCTTTTAAAGGCCCTCCCGCTGATCGTCGATTTGCTCGAGCGGGCCCAGTAATGTCTCCATTGGAGACTTTGTTGTTACTGTGTTTGGCATATCGAATACGTCACGGGCAGCTTGCCAGGCTCTGCTGTGCGGGCAAGATACGACAGATGCTAATATACAAATTAGACAGATGCTAATATACAAATCATTATTATCATATGATGAATGATATTGTATTTCATTAAGTGTGTTTTTAAGTTATGCTAGCACATTTAAAAATTAAAACAAGAAAGTTTTACATTATAGTCACAACTCAGCTTTTTATGAAGAAAAAAATGAGACTTAGAAATATGAAAAAAATTATTGGACATACCAGACTAGAGTTAGCTACCAGAACAATAAGAATTCCAGAAGGGCTGAGAGTGAATAGAGTGGAGACCGTACTTAGAGAAATAATGTTAGAGATTTTCCCCAAACTAGGTGGAAAACCAAACAAAGCTATTCAAGAATCTAAGAGAACACCCAAATATTGGACTCCAAAAGGTCACAGTATTATTTCCATTTACATCACATCCATTTACTTAAATGAAACATAATTAGATGAATTTTTAAAGTATATCAAAGTTTAGCTTTAGGAGCATTTAATAGGAAATACTCACTGTTTGATCTGCCAGAGGGGGAAGAACAATTTGCTTTTCTATTTTGTTAAGAACTATCTTCCATAGTTCTTTCAAAACTCGCTTAAGAACTGTTTTCTCACAGATTTTTGCTGAGAGGCTTAATCTGAAATAAAAAATATAATCACTTGTTTATCATACATTAGGGGTAAGCTTATTCCCAGATAAGACGTTTTATATTTTCAGTACTCACTGTTCAGTACACGAATAGGCTTTTAAGAGCTAACTCTGGGGCTGGAGCGATAGCACAGCGGGTAGGGCATTTGTCTTGCATGCGGCCAACCTGGGTTCAATTCTCAGCATCCCATATCGTCCCCCGAGCACCGCCAGGAGTAATTCCTGAGTACAGAGTCAGGAGTAACCCCAGAGCATCGCTGGGTATGACCCAAAAAGCAAAACAAAACAAAACAAAACAAAAAACCCTAACTCTAATTTAAAGTAGTACAAATTTCCAGTCTGACTCAGGTTTGGTTCTTCCGCCCCTCTCGCATGGCAAAGCCTGGCAAGCTACCCATGATGTATTCGATATGCCAAACACAGTAGCAAGTGTCACAATGGAGATGGTACTGGGCCTGCTCGAGCAAATTGATGAACAACGGGAGGACCGTAACACAGTGAAATTTCCAAGTCTATTTCATCAAACTATATATTAGTTTATCCGATATTTGATAGAACATAAATGCTGATAATTATTTTCTTAAATTATTCCCTAAATTGACATCAAGCCCCTAAAGAACATGAAGTTCACTTGCATTCCTGCCTTAAATATAATGCATGTTCATGGTAAACACCATGCTCAGTCTAAACACCAAAATATGGTCTTCTTTTTGCTACCAATGTGAGGTAATAACAATGCATTTTTGTCATTACCTCATAGTGGACTAACATGAACACACGGGAAAATATGCTTAATAATAATTCCACTCAACCACCACAATTTGCCATTGTCTCATTGTTTTTAAACTTTTTGAAATAAAATATGTGAGGGACAGGCCCAAAATGGACCACCACCAAAATTAATTTAGCTTAGCTTAATAGGAATCTGCATTACAAAATAACTGGTTTTTCAAGAAACAGGTCTAGATAAGGTTTTTCAGATCTGCTTTACAGGAGCCTGCACTGCAAAATAACTGGTTTTTCTGCCCCTGAGCAAGGCATTCAGATACATGTACTCGAAGGGTGAGGGTCAGACCAGTTAACTGGATGTCTCTCACAAGACTCATGTTGCAAGACCCAGGACTGCCCTAAAAACCAGGAGTTTCCTAAGCACTGATGCAAATGCTGATCTTTAAACTATAGGCTAAGAAGTGACGTACCCTTAATTGGATTGGTTAGGAAAGTATCTGTTATTACAAATCTATTGGCTATGAAATGCGTGGGCTCTGCTGTAACTGTCAGTAAAGGCCTATGTAAGATCTCCTTTGAAGAAGTTTGGAGTCTTTACCCAACCTGCCAGACCTGCATGTCTGTGTAGGTGGTTGGACCCTGGCTAACCAGTCTTACAATAAACCCTGCTTGCTGTTTGCAGTCTCTGAAGTCTCTTTGTCGTTAAAGGGAGATTTCGATCTGCGCTCAAACAACTAAATATGTAATTGTTTTTATTTATTATTTAGCTGGGCTGGAGTGATAGCACAGCGGTAGGGCATTTGCCTTGCACACAACCAACATGGCCTGAAAGGATATATATTAGGGCATTAAATTCTTGTATGCTTCAGCTAACTTGCAACATTGCTTTCTGTAAAACTGCTTGGCTGCTTTGCACCTGGGGGAGGGGGGGAACTTGGAATGTGAACAGGGCATAACTTCTTTCTAAACCAAGTGTGACAGGATTCAGGTGTATTTACTGTTCCTGAAATGTATTGTCTCAGTAAAGCACCCTGCAGACTTGGGTAAAGGATAACTCAGGATGCAGGTAGATTGCCCATTCCGGGAATGTATTGTCTTAGCAAGACCCCTGCAGATGTCTTGGGTAAAGGATAACTCAAAATGTGGATGGTTGAGGGAGATCACTTAAGGCTTAATGATTCCGGCTATAACTTTGCTTGTGCTGACAATCAATGTACGTAAATGCTGATCTTTGAATCTATAGGCTAAGGAGTGAGGTACCTTTAAATGGATTGGTTAAGAAAGTATATGTTGTTACAGGTCTATTGGCTATGAAATGTGCGGGCCTTGCTGTAACGGTTGATGAAGGCCTATGTAAGACCCCCTTTGAAGAAGCCCGGGGCTCTCAGCCACTGCCCACTCTGGGGTATGCTGTGGAGCCCCAGCATGCTGGTCTAAATAAACCCGATTTGTACTCCTGCAGGAATTGTGTCTGTCTGGTTTCTCCGCGCCTCCTAGGGCCAGGGGACTCCCAATCCCAACAGGCCAACCCGAGTTTGATTCCTCCGCCCCTCTCGGAGAGCCCGGCGAGCTACTGAGAGTATCTCGCCCGCACAGCAGAGCCTGGCAAGCTACCTGTGATGTATTCGATATGCCAAACACAGTAACAACAAAGTCTCCAATGGAGACGTTACTGGGCCCGCTCGAGCAAATCGATAAACAACGGGAGGACAGTGACAGTGACAGCTGAAATTATTTTTTTCCCTTTATTTTATTTTATTTTTTTTTAAAGTTGTAGATTTACAATTTTTTGTGCTCTGGTTTCAATTATACAATGATCAGATACCCATCCCTCCACCAGTGCCCATTTTCCACCACCATGGATAATATCCCTCCCACCCCCATCCCCCCATCCCCCCTGTCTCTGTGGCAGGGCAATCCCCTGTGTTCTCTCTCTCCTTTTGGGTGTTGTGGTCTGCAAAAGAGGTATTGAGTGGCAAACATGTTCAGTCCATAGTCTACTTTCGACATGCATCTCCCCTCCTGGGAGGATCCTCCAAACATCCTTTATTTGGTGCTCCCTTCTCTATCTGAACTGCCCTATCCTCTAGGATACCCGGCTGGCCTCTAAGTTATGGAGTAATCCTCCTGGTGCTGATCTCAGCTATTCTTGGGTATTAATCTCATACTTTGTTACTTTATATCCCCCAGATGAATGCAATCTTTCTATGTCTATCCCTCTCTTTCTGACTCATTTCGCTTAGCATGATACTTTCCATATTGTACCACTTGTATGTAAATTTCATGACTTCATCTTTTCTAACAGCTACATAGTACTCCATTGTGTAGATGTACCAAAGTTTCTTTAACCAGTCATCTGTTCTTGGGCATTCAGGTTTCTTCCAGTTTCTGGCTATTGTAAAGAGTGGACAGCTGAAATTATTATAATTTAGGTAGTAGTGTTTAAATTTATGGAATTGATGTACAAAGCTATTTACTATAAACCACTACTTACCAAAGTAAGATGTTCCTTCATCCTACCCCTGTGTCACTTTTGGTTCACCCTTCCTTCCCCTCATCCATACACCTATTCTTTACTAATTGACAATTATGGTAACATACTGTTACCACCCTTTGCCACCACCCATGTGTTTCAGACCCTCTATCTGTGTTCATCTGTAACTTCTTCAACTCATTTGTGCCCTCCACCACAGAAGCTAGATCAGATGACATTCCCACCAATAGTGAGTGAAGGTTCCTCTCCTGCCCCACTTATTTCCAGTTTTATATATCAATATCTTTGCTTTCAGCTAAAGCCATCCTGAAAGTTATCTCTATCATCTTTATCTAAATACATTACTCATATGTGTGACAATATAGATAGAAGACCCTAAAATTTTCACAAAAAATTAAAAAAATTAAGAGAAAAAAACCAGTAAAACCAAATAGCAGGTTGCAATATTAATATGCAAAAATGTATTCCACTTCAACATGAAAACATTTAACTGGGAAAGGTATAAATCAAACTATCTACCTCATTTAAAATATTGTGCCCTGGTGCAGGAGAGACAGTATAGCAGGTAGGTGTTTCTATTGTACCTGGCTATCTGGATTCCCCAGCATCCAATATGGTCCTCTGATTACTGCCAGAAGTGATTCCTGAGTGCAGAACCAGGGAGTAACCTCTGATCACCATCGGTTTTTGCCTCAAAACTGATAGATAAATAAATAAAAATAATGTGTCCAAATATCAAATACCTAGGAATTAATTTAACAAAGGGCATGAAAAACCTAAACTGTGATAACTATTAGAGACTTTTGATAGGAATTAAAGAGAACACCAGAGTATCCTATCTTACTCAAAGCACACAATATAAGCTTGATGTTATTTCCATCAGATTCTTGATGACATTCTTTAAGAAATAAGAATGAGCACTACTGTAGGATAACACTGTTCAGTCCTTCCTGCATAGCCTCAGGTAGTTTAGGTTTATTGGGTTGCTCCCATCACAGTGTTCCCATTCCTCTGAGTTTATTTGTAGCTTCTTTTTTTGTGCTCTGTTACCTTGTAAATATTGTTTTTTCTCTTCTCCCTAAATCCTTTTCATAGTTTATTCAGAGCAATGTCCTTTTTGTATGAACACAAGAAGACATGCTTTTGTAATGTGACTCTCAAAACATGCTTTTGTAATGTGACTCTCAAGACATGCTTTTGTAATGTGACTCTCAGGGATATTTTCCTTCTGGGCATCTGTTCTCTCACCTAAGCCTCAGCTGCCCTCACTTCCTAGTGCCCCTAAAAGCAGGGTCCCAACTAGGGACTGGATGGAACCAGGGCAAGCCATAAGCTATGTGTTACCCTTGCATTGAGATGGGCCTGGTCAAAGTGCCATAATGCTTAACTATAAGTTAAGAGCTTGGTCATGGACAAATGCTGTCATGATCCAAACATAATAACTAGATTTGGACCCTGCTAGGGTTAGAAATGATTAATCTGGCCTGAGTGCTGTAGTCTGAGTCTGTGGCAAAATGTCCTCAGGAGAGCTGCCCAACAAGTCTCAATGTTATCTCTTACTGTGTCTATACAAAAATAGCTAGTATTGATATGTTGATAGTGAGGAGAAGAGGATAGTGAAGATACTGAGGAGAAGAGGAAAATACTTTAGAAAGCATTTTGCCCTTGGGCAGTCAGGAAGGGCATTAGTATGCCTTTTAGGTGGTGTTCCCTTTGAACTTGATGGGCCCTCAGGGAAGGCTTTCTTATGTTGATTTGACTATCTG